ACCGGCAGCGGGAGGCTGGGCGGGGAAAGAGGAGGAAGTGGCCTGGGCTCGGGGCAGGTGAACCGCCTGGCACGGGCGGGGCAGCCAGCTGGGGAGGGAGGAGGGGCAGTCCCACACAGCCACCTGGGTGGCGCGGCTGGGATGCTTTCCTTTTCTCCCGCCTTCCCTCCATTTCCAGGAAGCTGGCCATCCCGGAGCCGGCGGCTCACCCTAACTCACCCCCAGTTTTCTAATGAAACTTGGATTTACACACAAATAACAGCCTTCCATACAAACACAGACACATACACAGACACACACACACACACACACACACACACACACACACACCAGCTCAGGTCCAGGCAACGTGAAAATGGGTCACCAGGAGATGAGGGGCTCCAAATCAGGACTCGGATTCCCCAAGGCGAAGTAGGGGTACTGCTGCCCCCCATTAAAACCAAGAAGCCTGCCAGGGGTTCGCCAGTGGGCTCAGGCGGTGCAGCTGTTGCCTCACTGCAGGACCCATGCGCATGAGGAAGGAGGTGCTGCTTTAGTCCAGCTTCACTTCGGGTGGCGGCCGCCACTGGGGCCCAGAGCCAACCCCCCTTCCCCCGCCCCGGGGAGGGGGCCCCCGGGACGGATGGGGAGCCGAGGCCTTTTTCCTCCCAACGTAGTGTTTATAAGAAATGAAACTGCACAGGGCATCAGCGGCAGCCCACATTGACACTCTGCTCCCCCGCCGGGGTTCCGGAACAGCCCAGAGCGCTGTCATTCCTCCGCCTGCTCTTACAAGGCAGACCCCCCTAGTGCTTTCCCAGCCCGCGGCAGCCTCCCACTCTGCAGTTAGGATTTTTATAACTGCACATTTTTTCTGCTGTGTCATACAGCATCTTTGCCAGAGCGGTGAGAGGGGAGGGGCTCGTCTCGTGCCCCTGCATATCCCCAGGGCCAAACCTGGAGTTCACTCAGCAGGAGTGCGATTTGTATTTATTTGTTGAATGAATTAAGAAATGTCTTCCTTTTTCTCCTATTAGGCTCTTTTCAGGCAGAGTGAGGGCACCTGGATTCTATTGTCAAACTTTTGGATGCTTTCAGATGATTTCATGCCTGACTTGTGCTCGCACTTCACAGTTTAGGACTGCTTGCCCCTTAGATTTGCTGTGAAAATAGATGATGGCTGGGAGAGACTGAGCATCTAATGGAGCCCTCCCTCTGGTCCTGGAAGGCTGGAACACCTGTTGGGAGTTAGTCCGCATTGGAGATTATGATCTCTTCTCTGGGTAGCAGGCCCCAGAGGGGTCCAGGGCTGTCCTAATCTCAAAAACCTAGTTAAAGCCTAGCTGTCCTGACTTCAAGACTAACTAGACCACCTAGGGGGAGAGCAGTGTGTTCCGAGAGCCTGAGGGAAGGGGCTGGGGACAGGATTTGGTCCATCAGGGACGAAGCTCCCACAGAGGTGATCTCCCCTCCAGCATCCTGTTCGCCAGCCAGTCAGCCCCTCCTGCCACCTTAGAAAACTCCAGGGCCTAATACAGTGAAATCGCCCAATAAACTCACCTTCAGTGAGTGATAGTATAGATGGGAGGCATCCTGTGAGCACCTGCTCCAGAGCTAAGTCCCAGCCAACTTCAGCTGCAGGTGTGAGGAACTCAGGTCTCTTGCCCCAGAAGGTCACCACCCAGAAGGTGATAAGTGGAGAAAAGGCAACAGGAAAGTTAAGGGCATAGAGGTTCTGAGGAGAAGAAGGACTTCTGGCTGGCTGCTTTGGAGGTAGGTACTTCATAGAAGACCAGGCATTTTCTCTGGGCCCTAAAATGCAGACTGAAATTGAAGTGTGTCGGGGGAGGGGAGTGTTGCTGAGTATTCCAGGAAGTCAGGGATGAGGAGCAAATGGAAGGAGCAAAGACAGGGGGAAAATGCAAAATGTGTTCATAGAATGGAAATACAATGAAAGGTTCACGCATTACTATTAATACTACGTGTCATTTGACTAATGTTTTACAGTTTAGAAAAGAGTTCGATAGTCTGTTGAATTTCATCTTCACAATAATTAGAGATGGGTGAAAGTATATTTTACAGATGAGGAAACTGAAGCCCAGTGAAGGACATTAACTTGCCTAAGGCCACAAAGCAAGTAGCAAAAGTAAAAGAACCCAGGCTTTCAGACTCAAATTCTGTGTTCTCTTCCACCACCCTCTAGTTACTGCCTAGAGTGAGCAGTCATTTAAATGTGGGGCTGAGGCGTCTGGGGTAACTCAGAAGGCATTTAGGTGGACCTGAATGTTAGGGAGATCCTCCAAATTAAGGAGATCATCCTTGTGCAGAGGGGCCTGGAGGGATAGGCCCCAGGGGAGGCTGTGGCAACAACAGCCTGGTTCTGGAATGTGAAAAACAGGACTTGGTGCTGGGAAAGAAGACCAGGAGGACCAGGTGAGGCAAAGAAGGAAGGTGGGGGGAGGGGGCGACTTCACCCTGGAAGTAGCTGGAATTAGGACTAGAGAGAGCTGCTGGGGGCAGTGTGGAAAGGGGAGGCCAGGAGTTCTGCTTATATTAGTGTGACTGTTTATAGGGTTGTAGGGGACTGTCGAGAAGTCAGCCAGAGCTTGAATTTGGTGGTCACCTCCCCAGAGCAGGTGGCCAGAGTCACAGAGGATGAGTATTTTGAGTCGGAGAGGGGAAAGGGCCAGCCCTAAATTACTAAGAAAGACCAAGGGAAGGTTCTGTGTGTTCTGCTTAGCATCAAAGGGAATGTGTGATACATCTTAGAATGAGATTCTTCAAGAGCAGTTACAATAAAAATTGAGGTACTTACACAAGGTTTAGCTTTATTTCATTGACCTGGAGTGTAGCATCCCCAGTCGTGATAAGCAGATTCTTCTTATAGGCTTCAAGATAAAATAGATTCCTTAAAATTAAAAGTAAAAAAAAAAAAAAAAAGAACACTATAGAGATGTGAATGACAGTTTTATTGGTAAATCCTAAGATTGGGGAATTTCTCCTAAGCAAAAAAATATTGATGTGTGCAAAGATTTAGCTACACGGTGTTGTTTGCATTATGATAAAATGGAAATAACCTAAATGTCCTATAATAGGGGGTTAATTGAGTAAATTTTTATTTATCCTTATGATAGAATAACATATACATTACAAATGGTATTACAGAAGTACATTTCACAATGTGGAAAGATGCTCATTACATATAAATGTACAGATGATTACCTGTGAGTTAATATAAAGTTTTTTTTTTTTTAAAGCACTTTTTACAGTCTCTTGTTGCCTTCATGGTGTCATTTTGGTCAATTTCTCAGACCACATGAGATGCAAACTTTTTTTCCTTAATCTCTTTCTGAATTTTCCAGTGGCTGTGTCAGGTTCTTAGGGACAGGACAAACATCCATTTGCTGCACAGAGAACAGACTTCACAACTTGGGAGCCACATGGTTTTGTTCTTCTTACTCAGAAGGTCTTGGTCTCTGTAGTGGGTCCCCACTCTCATCTGTCACTTAAAGCACCCCAGCCTTTCTCCCCGTTCCAGGCCCTCAGCACCTTCCACTTTGCTTAACACCACCTAGGTTCATTCTTTGCAGTCCCTCTTCTTTGCCTCTCCCAGCTCCTGCACCCACCACCAGAATTGGCTTAACACATCCATTTCCTCTGTGGGAGGGAGACAGTAGAATGACTGACAGGTGGAATGCTGCATCAATGTGTCTGTTTATAGCCTGCATCATTGCGACTGGGTGCTACTGTGGAGGGAGAGCTGGGTTGAAGGGCCTGACACGACCAACCCAGCCAGGAAGAGCAATTTACTTCCGAGACAGCAGATTTGGGGAGGTGAAGGAAGGAGCCCACTGGGCCAGAGTTCTGGATACAGAGTGAACACTTGGCCTAGCCTCTAGGAGTACAGGTAAGGTAAGGTCTAGTTGTGAGCCCAAGAATTAACCAGCTGCCCTTCCCAAGGACCTAGGATGGGGGCTCCCAACTCTTTGGCTAGATTCATGGCCTTGGCCAGTCCTAAGAAATTCTCCCATGTTGCCCAGAACCTCTCTGGCCCAAGCCCTGAGGACCCAGAGACAAACACCAATGCTGCCACTGAGGAGCTCCCATGCAAGGGCCACATGAGACTGTGGAGGTGGCCTTAAGGCAGGAGTGCTAAGAGGGACCAGGGCTACCCCACCCCCACACTACCCCAACTCAGCAGACCTCCCTTTTCTGAAATTCCTTTCTTCCCTTTCCCTCTGGCCAGCTGTGGGGCAGTCCCAAGGATGTAGACCTGGAAGGGGGAAGGTGTTCTCCCTGGTCACTATTAGATTCTGGCCAGAGACCTCACAAGCCACACAGCATGGGGCATGGGGCTTTATAGATATGTCACTGTAAACCAGCGAAATAGGGCTATTATTTTGTGGTTGAGGAAACTGAGGTTTGGAGCCCCTTGGCAGGCTGCACCAGCAGCTGCCAGACCGAGATTTCCTCTCGCCCGGCATCCCCAATCAGGGCAGGTGAGTGACCTGGAAGAGGGTCCCCCAAGAAGGAGGCAGTGTGAGGGCTGAAACCCTCCTTTCTTGACATTCCATTAGCGGGCTTGAGGAACCAGTCTGGTTTTCGGGAATTCAGCCTGGTGTCCACTCTGAAGAGAGCGGCAGGTGCCCGGGTGAACCCCTCACCTGCGCTGGGGAGAGAGACGTCTTCGTCTCTCAGAGAAGAGGGTGAGCAGAGGGCCACAGCATCTAGTAGGCTGGGCGAAGGCGGAATGGGGAGTAACCGGAGGCCGGGGGCGTTTGGCTTTCCAGGACAGCCATTCTCAGGGACGAGCTGGGTGGGGGTGGACTGGGAGCCAGCGGGGCGGGCCTGCGGTCGAAAAAACGGGCCGGAGGGGGTGGGGTAGAGCTCCCGCCCTGTACTTCCCCTTCGCCGCTAGTTCTACAACAGCCTGATTTCCCCGAAATGATGGGGCGGCGCCGGCCAATAGGCGCCCTCGCGGCTCTTTAGGAGGCGGAGCCGGGCCTGGACTGGGGAATCCCGCTAAGTGTTTAGAGTGTGGGCCGGCGCCGCTGTCCTGGCAGAGCGCGCCAGTCCTTCGTCGAGGCAGGACGTGCGCCTGAGCCGGGCCCAGCAAAGGCCAGCGAGAGCCGTGCCCAGCCAAGGCCACTCGTGCCAGCGGCCCCGCAACCCGGGCATCCTCTACCTTCTCCCCTAAACGCGTTCGCCGCGCGGGGACCTTCGGGCACCGTCGCCGAATCGCGCCCACTGCAGAGGTGAGCCCGACTTCGCCGCGGGGGGCACCGGTGGCGTCGAACAAAGACGTGCAGGGCATCAGGAAGTGGGGGCCGAAAACCCTAGGCGGGAGAGTTGCAGGCGCTCGGGCTCAGGAGGGCGCTGGAGGAGCGGCGAGCTGCAGCGCGGGGAGGGCGGGCCGCGGCGTGGACCGCCCACCGGCTGATTGCCGGCGCCCCGCCGCTTTCGCAGATATGCGTGCATGAAGCCGCTGGGGACCTCTGGCTGTCCGCGTACGTTCGTTGCGCTCATCCACGAGCGGTGCCAGGGAATCCGAGTGTACGTTCGCGCATGGGCGCCCGGTGCTCCCTGCGGTGGTCCCAGCTCCGCAGCCAGGCCCCAGGTTTCAGGCTGTCTATGCAGGTGGCCGGGGCTAGGTGGCTGGAGGACCTGCCGGAGCTGCGGGAAGAGGCGCCGCAGGTGTTCCTTGGGCCATTTTGCCTAGGACGGGAGCCAGGCCGGAAGGGTTAGAGGCCGGGCCTCTGCACGGTGGCTGTCAGGGAGGCGCGGAATAGGTGGGGTGTGTGTGGGGTGGGGGGCGATGTCCAAGCAGGGTGACTGCTTGCCCGCACAACTAGAGGCAACAACTCAAGTTGTTGAGTTGTTGGAAAATTTTTTGGCATCAAGCAAAAGACGTCTCTCCCTTCCCAAAGGATTTGAATTTGGGGAGAAAGTTCCAGTATTAAGATACTGTGTATTTTGTCTCTTTTTTTCTGCACATAAATCCTGCCACTATAACTTGCATGCCTGTTTCCTCTCAAGACTGTTTAGGAGGGAGTGAAGGAAGGGACAGAAGTGTTTTTGCCCAAGATGCTGAAAAGATTGAGGGCAGTTTTTTTCCAGTGAAAGCCTCTTACCCCTGCTTGTAGTACTTGGTACCTGGCTGAGGGCCGGGGAGGGTACCCGAAGTGACGTAGGGTGGGGTAGGTAGTCTCCAGGGGCTGCTCAATAGACTCCAACAGAAGCCTTCTGTCTTCTCTTTACAGCCAACATGCCCATCACTCGAATGCGCATGAGACCCTGGCTAGAGATGCAGATTAATTCCAACCAAATCCCAGGGCTGATATGGATTAATAAAGTGAGTGTAACTCTTTGGGTTTTTCTGCCATATTTCAACCCGTATTCTTTGGGGGACCAAAGCTTCAGATGCAGCTCAAAAAAGGAAGTGTTAAGGAGGAGGCAGATGTGTTTCCCAGTGGGTCCTGCATGGAGGGAATGTGCAAGAGCAAGCCCTGGGCCCCACTTGCCTGACTTCTGCCTTCCCCACTTCTTGAGGCATGGACAGGGCACCCACCTGAGGTCACTGACAGTTTCCAGTAGCTAGACTCTCCCACCATCTGCAGGGCTTGAGTTCTCGTCTCTCTTGAGGGAGACTCCTATAAACACACACCGCATCTAGTCAGAAAGATAAGAGTCAGAGAAGTGGGCACTGATGGCAGGATGGGGGCTGGCTCAGCAAGGGACCCAAGGATTAACCTTGCATCAGTTGCCTGGACCCAAGAAGCTCCTTGCTGGTGCATGAAGGGCAACACAGATCCTGCAGACTTAGTAACAACAGTATTCATAATAATAGCTATTGCTTACCATATACTCACTACAAGTGAGTGTGGCACCATGCTAAGTATGTTACTTACATTGCATCATTTAACACTCAAAATAGCCTGGTGAGGTAGATCTTATTAATATGTCCATTTTCAGAGAAGGCAACTGAGGCATTGAGAAGTAGATAATAGCTTTGATGCTAAGATTTGAACCTGACCAGTCTGACTCAAATCCATACTGTTAACCACCAGTAATGAGAACAGTGAGACCTGAGTCTTTATACTTGTCACTGTGTTTTCTCATTTCACAGAAGAGAAAACAAAGACAAAGAGGTACAATGACAGTGCTAGGGTCACACAGGTACTCAGCATCCAAGTCCAGCCCAGGGCTCGCTCAGGTGGCCCCAGGTATCCTGAGCAGCCTCCTCTAATGGATGGAGTTTTCATTTCCATGTCAGTGCTGACAAGCCAGAGAAGCATCCCAGGGGGCTCTGTACGGGTGCCAGCACATCTGTAACAGGCAGAGGGAGGTCTTTGTTGAGCTGATGGTGCCACAGCTCATCAGAACCCAGAGTCCTCTCTGAGCTATCCAGAGTGATCCAGTGGCCTGTTTAAGCCAATCTCAGGGTGGGTCAACCAAAGCCAGCTGTCAGGGTGAAAAGAGGAAGTCATCCTTGACCTGGGGGCTGGGCAGATCTAGGCCAAAAGCCTGTGGCCTCTGAGCTGACAGATCTGTGTGTGTGTGTGTGTGTGTGTGCTGTTCAGGAGGAGATGATCTTCCAGATTCCGTGGAAGCACGCTGCCAAGCATGGCTGGGACATTAACAAGGACGCCTGTTTGTTCCGGAGCTGGGCCATCCACACAGGTGTGTGACTCCAGCCCAGGAGGAGCCAGGAAGGGGATAAGGGGAGGCACTTCTATTACCATAGACACTCCTCACTGGGACCTCTGAGCTCCCTGAGGTGGTGTACAAAACTCAGGGGCGGGCGGGGGCAGACCTGTATTTCTGGGGAGAGGGGCCATCCTTTCAGTAAGTTCTCAAAGGAATTTGTGAAGCCATAATCTTAGTTTGGCTTCGAGGAGTTTGGCTAGATTAAAGTTCTCTCTGGCAAAAGCAACTGTAAGCCAGAACACTAAAAGAGACCTGGGCCTTCTTTTTTTTTTTTTTGATGTTGTCCAAGGTCCTTGGCTTAAGACCCATCTGGTTGGTAGCTTCCTCTTGTCCTTGAGGGATGGGGCTTTTGACCCATCTCAGACCAGTTGGTCCACCTGTCAGTAACTGTTCTTTGGTGCCTACTCTGTGCCCACTCCCATGTTTGGAAATATCATATAAGGCCCAGTCCCTAACCTCTGGCTGCTGACAGCCCAAGCAGGGAGCCTGAGCATGATGCCACACAAAGAGCACTTTGGGGTATATGGGCCCTCTGGTACTTCTGGCTGGGCCCTGCCGGATGTGTTTGAGAAGCCCCAGGGCCTGCAGAGTGTCATCCCAGAATACCTGCTGGTTTGAACACCTGGTTTGATCCCCAAAATACCTCTCAGTGAGGATTTCTGAGAGCTTAGGAATACTCTTGCCTTCTGCCTTCCAGGCCAGAGGGCAGCTGAGGATCCCTACCTATGGCCCTGACGATCCCCTCCACTCTCTCTTGCCCACTAGGCCGATACAAAGCAGGGGAAAAGGAGCCGGATCCCAAGACATGGAAAGCCAATTTCCGCTGTGCCATGAACTCCCTGCCAGACATCGAAGAGGTGAAGGACCAAAGCAGGAACAAAGGCAGCTCAGCTGTGCGGGTGTACCGGATGCTCCCACCTCTCACCAAAAATCAGAGGAAAGGTATGCAAGGGCTCTGGGTCTTCGGGAAGCCTTTAGGGAGGAAGAGAAAAAGGGGGCCAACTGGGGCTGGCATGCCCGTGCCAAGGCTAATGTCCTATCTTCCCCCCAGAGAGAAAGTCCAAGTCCAGCCGAGACGCTAAGAACAAGGCCAAGAGGAAGGTGAGTCTGGTCCTGAGCAGCTGGCCTTTGATCACCTGTGAGTCAGGGTGGGCAGTGGAAGAAGCGCCACAGCAGCCTGGCCTAAGCTTCTTTCTCCTTCTGCAGTCATGTGGGGACTCCAGCCCCGATACCTTCTCCGATGGCCTCAGCAGCTCCACCCTGCCTGATGACCACAGCAGCTACACAGCTCAGGGCTACATGGGGCAGGACTTGGAAGTTGAGAGGGCCCTTACTCCAGGTGAGGCAGGCTGGGCCTGGTAAGGACCACACAGGTCAGGGGGAGGGCTCTTTCTCTTGGGTCGAGGAGCCATCGTGCTTTTGAGTGGTGACCACGGGAGCAGGCTACAGGGTTGGGGATGCTGGATATCTTGCAAACTGAGAAAGCACACAGCTCTGACCCTTGATTTCTACTGTCCTGCAGCACTGTCACCATGCGCTGTCACTAGCACTCTCCCTGACTGGCGCATCCCAGTGGAAATTGTGCCGGATAGCACCAGTGACCTATACAACTTCCAGGTGTCACCTATGCCCTCCACCTCTGAAGGTTTGTGCTTCTGGGGCCTGACATGTTTGCCAGACTGTTTGGGTCCAGGGTGGGTTTTCCTGAGGGAGAAAAGATGCTCTGAACTCCACCTGGCACTGAGCTGACTGTGGCAGGCCTGAGGGAAGAGGAAGGGGCTGCAGTTTGGTCTAAGGTTGCTGGGTCTCCTGGCTCCTCTGCAGCCCAGGCTCCCAGGGTGAGAGAGGAAGCGAGGGGGTAGGAAGAGGTGTGGCTTCAGGGCTTGGGAGCTGAGTCAGTAGGACAGTGTCCTGTTCTGGAATCTCCATGGCAGACAGATGTCTACTGGGCGTTTGTGTGCGAAGGGACAGGGGGACCTGATGGGGCTGGAATTGCAGGGTGAGCACGGCTGACTGCCAGCCAACCTCTCTCCTCTTCCCTATCCACAGCCACAACAGACGAGGACGAGGAAGGGAAGTTGCCGGAGGACATCATGAAGGTAAAGCCCCTTCCTCCCTGAGCATTCTTTTGGAGTAGGGAGAGAACCACTAAGAGCTTCCAAATCGAAGGGCAGGCAGCTACTGCTATGACCTGGCTGCTTGCATAGTCCTGCAAGTGCCACATCCTTGTGGCTGGGGACCACTGCCCTCCTTGGCAGGTGGGAAAGACACTGTAGAAGTAAGGACAGGAGGGAGGCCTGGTTTCTGACAGACTGTCCTGAAGCAGGCTTCGGGGCTTCAGACGGCTGAGTCAGCCACCATCAGGACCAGGCCCCTGGCCCGTGTCCTCTGCCCCAACACGCCCCGGCCCTGCTAGTCTGGGAAATGCACATCAGGTTTCAATAATCAGCCTTTGGGATCTGTAATATGGTGGCATTTTTTTTTTCCAGCATGTTATCCCCTAGGGTTTTGTTTTTCTGCTTCAGTTTTAAAAGTGAATATAAAAAAGTTTTTTGCAGTGGTATGCGGGCTCTGTTCCATCAGCACAGAAAATTGAGACATGGACATAGTTCTTTATCTCTAACTTTTCTGGTTATCTTTTCTTGACTCTACTTTGCTTTAAGCCACACTCACAGTTGGTATGTCCTTACCCAGTTGAGAGGGAAGTCTTGGAGATTTGGTGCCATAGGATGGGTATGGTAGTGTGAGTCCAAAGCAGACACTCACCCCCCAGGCCCCTGTCCTAAGTAAATTCCTCATCTGCATCCATCAGAGAATGTGAGGGGGTGAGGGCCAAGGATGTCATCTTGGCTGGGAAGTTTTGGCTCATTGAAGGCAAGGCCACAGAGTGAGTCTGGACTGGAACTAAGCTGATGGCTTTTTGCTCCTCTGTCCACAGCTCTTGGAGCAGGAGCAGTCAGAGTGGCAGCCAACAAATGTGGATGGGAAGGGGTACCTGCTCAATGAACCAGGAGCCCAGCCCACTTCCGTCTATGCAGACTTCAGCTGCAAGGAGGAGTCAGAAGTTGACAGCCTTGGGGGTAAGAAGCCCCTGGATCTATATGGTTTCTTAGAGAAGGGAGAACCACAGGGATGCGGGGAGGCTTGGGGGCAAGGCTGGGGAGCAGTGGAGGTAAAAGCATCTTTCTTTAATTCATCTGGGTACAGACAGCTTGCAAACGGGCTGCCGCTCCCATGCTTTCAAGCTTGGCTGAAAGATGAAAGGGGCTGCTGCCCCAGGAGTGACAGAAGAGGTTGCTGTATCTGCGATCTTTGGGGATGGGGGTTGGGGGAGAACACACCTGCTCCCACCCCCCACACTCACACAACCTTCTTCACATCTTCTAGGGGATATCGGGCTCAGCCTCCACCGTGTGTTCACAGACCTGAAGAACATGGACACCAGCTGGCTGGACAGCCTGCTGCCCCCAGTCAGGCTGCCCTCCATCCAGGCCATTCCTTGTGCGCCATAGCCTGGCCCCCGGCCCTTTTGCTCTCCTAGGCGAGCAGGACCTGGCATGTTGGTGGCTGTGGTACAGAGAAGCAGGACTCCTGTGGGCCCCTTGACATGCGAAGTGTGACCTCACTGCTGAGTGGGGTTGGGGCTGCCCTCCTTGGGACAGTGGCCTTTCGGGGCCTGGCAAGTCAGGGTCTGGGCTCATCTCATGGGGTAAACCTGGCCCTGCCTCCTGGGAAGATGGGTTTCTGAGACTGGTGTCAGGTGGAGGTCTCAGACAGGAGTTGGCCCTCCAGCTTTTTCCTCTGAGCCCCACTGTCTCTGAGCTGGCCTGAGGGAATAGACCAGTGACCTCGGAAAAGCACAGCACCAACCCCAGGGCTGGCTCTGCACTAAGAGAGAATTGCACTAAGTGAATCCTATTCCCAAAGAACCAGCCCCCTTCCCAGCTGAGCCCTGGGGACTGTTCCAAAACCAGTGAAATGTGAAGGAAAAATGGGGTCCTGCGGGATAGTGCTCCCTCAGCCTCAGAGGAGCTCTGCCCTACTTGCTCAGGCTGAGGGGCTTGGGAAAAACATGGCACTTTTTTGTGTGGACCTTGCCACATTCTAATTAGAGGCGTACACTAATGTTTCCCACGAGCTCTTGGCTTTTGCATTTATTTATACAGTGCCTTGCCATGCGCCCACCTGCTCCCTCAGCAGGCCCAGGGAGGCAAGTGTGAGCGCCTTAGTGTGACTTTTAAAATTGGAAAACCCACCAAACCACTAAGTCATGTGTGACCACATATGTTTGTGTGTGTAAATATGTACATTTGTCTTTTTATAAAAAGTTAATTGTTCTAAGAGGTGTGGCCTTTTATTTAGAGATAAATGTAGATGATTTTACTTTCTGTAGGGACATTCTGATGGACTTATTCTTGGTACCCTGCTCGAGCTTGACTGTGGGGTGAACAGTGACAGGCACCTATTGCAAAATCCTTTCAATTATGTTCACGGAGTAGATGGTAGGAGGCGGAGACAGTCATGGCACAGGGACATGCTCATGTACCCTTGGCTTTATAGCTAGGGTTGAACTGAATTTGGGCTCCTGGGCTTGGGGAGTATTGGGTTTTGAGTTCTGAGGAATGTGCCAGCAACTATATGTCCTGCTGA